TTGGATAATTTTTTGGGGAGATTTGGGTGAGTTTATGGTCGTTTTTTGGGGAGATTTGGGTGAGTTTTGCATCATTTTTAGGGAGATTTGGGAGAGTTTCTGGTCATTGTTTGGGGAGATTTGAGTTTGTTTTGGGTCATTTTTTGGGGAGATTTCTGTGAGTTTTTGGTTACTTTTTGGGGAGATTTGGGAGACTTTCTGGTCATTTTTTAGGGGCATTTCGGTGAGTTTCTGGTCATTTTTTGGGAAGGTTTCTTTGAGTTTGTGGTCATTTCTTGGGGAGATTTGTGTGAGTTTCTGGTCATTTTTTGGGAAGGTTTCTGTGAGTTTCTGGTCATTTTTAGGGTGATTTGGGTGAGTTTCTGGTCATTTTTTGGGGAGATTTGAGTTAGTTTCTTGTCATTTTTTGCAGATATTTGGGTGAGTTTTTGGTCATTTTTTTGGGAGATTTTGGTGACTTAAGGGACATTTTTTGGGGAGATTTGGGTGAGTTTGTTGTCTTTTTTGGGAAGAGTTCTGTGAGTTTTGGGTAATTTTTTGGGGGGATTTTTGTGAGTTTGTTGTCGGACTTTTGGTGGAGATTTCTGTGAGTTTCTGGTCATTTTTTGGAAAGATTTGGGTGAGTTTCTGGGGTTTTTTTGGGGGATTTTAAACAGGAAACAACAGTCCTTATAGTCAGGAAAGGTAGCCAGCGAACTTCGACTTTGTAATGCAGTTGGTTTGTCAGCGTGGAGACTCCATGGGGAGCAAGGGCTTTCTGTGCTTTGCATCTCTTCTGTGGGAGGAATCTTTGTTTGTATGCAATGTTGGGTGTTGGGCTGTCAGTTGGGAGGCAGGTATGAAAACAAGAAATCACAGTCCTTATCCGCTGGAAAGAACACCTGGAAGCTTTGGCTTTGTGCTGCGGTTATTTTGTCAGCCTGGAGACTCCATCCGGAGCAAGAATTTCTGTACTGGCACCTTTAGTGTAGGAGGAATCTTTGTATGCAATTTTGGAAGTCGGTCTGGCAGTTGGGAGGCAGGGCTGAAAACAGGAAGAACAGCCCTTATCTGCAGGAAAGAAAGCCTGGAAGCT